TTTAATGCGGCTTTCCGGCAACTAACTATTTGGCTAATACTTGTTTTAAAATTTGCGAATTTTATTCGAAATTAAACTTCCTAAAATTTCATCTAGGTGAAGTTTGCGAGTTTGAAACATTATCATCTTGAGATTTTGTTTAATTTTAAGTTTGATAAAACAGTAAGACGTTTAACGAGGGGTCAGAGTTTTCTAACTCTAAGCTAACGACAATCAAACGAAACCATATAAACGAGTAAGAGAGAGAGAGAGAGAGAGATTGGGTCCAATTTCGGGTTTTGTCCACCTTGATCGAAATTTGGACCCACCTGCTTTTTGGATTTTTTAACCCATTTCTCGTTTGGGTTTTCAACCCACTTCACCTGTCATAGTCTAAGCATACAAAATAAATACAAGAAGGTAAAAAAAAGGACAAGGGCTTATGCCCAAAATAAATACAACATAATTAATAAAATTAGATCTTCTAATCCGCCTTCTTTGATTTTCTTCAAACTTCGTGAAATTCGACTTTGTACGCCTGCCTTGATAGATTGACTCGATAAAAAATTTTCGAGCCTTCATGGCTCTTCCGAAATGCAAGGAGGAAAATGGAGTCTCAAAATGGACTCGAGAGGGATTTCACATGCTATCAAACGAAAATGGAGTTAAGAAAGGAACATGAAATCTTAACATGCTAAGTCCAATAAACAACTTGTAACATAAACAATGCATACAATGATATAACACACATTTTATTTTATTTTTGCATATTGCAGGCAGCAACAATCTAAAGTGATTGGATGAGCTTGATATTTAGGCTAGGAAAGGAATATGGCCAGCAGAATTAAAAGAAATAACTAAGAGCCTGTTTGGCTCAGCTTAAAAGCTGGTCAAACTGACTTAAAAGCTGGTTTTTGACTTATTTAGCTGTTTGACAATACTCAAAACAGTTTATTTTAAGTTAAAAAAAACTTATTTTAAGCCAAAAGTTAAAAGCTGGGGTAGGGGTGCTTTTTTATTTTTAGCTTATAAGCTGTTTTAAGTTGACCACATTTTTATCTTTTTGTGCTTAATATTTTTATACAATCTCCAAATTACCCATATAACCCTAACATTTCTTTCTTCCATTTATCCTCTTTTCACGTTTGACATAACAACTTCAGCACTTTTATCCAAACACATAACTGCTTATTTTTAAAATAAGTTTCAGCACTTTTAAAAGTACTTTTTTAAAGCTGCTTTTATTAAGCCCATCCAAACGGGCCCTAAAACAAACACATTATTCTTAACATTATATTGAAAACACAGCAAAGAGAAAATAGAAGAGGTCATTATGCCACTGTTGAACAAAGATCACTCCAAAATAATCATAACTCAAACACTTTGATGTTTCCTACCCATGTAACGACTAAACAACATAGTAAAGAAAAGATTACCAACATATATTCAACAAAGTTCGATTAGAAGGGACTCAGGCGATGATGTGTTATAGACAACAATACCATTAATTCACTACAACACTCTTGAGGTAATCAAATAGGAAGATCATTCGATAAACAAACTATAATCTACTTAAACTTCACATAAAAAAAGCAAAAAGGGAAGAGTCGATCAAAACTTATTTCATTAAGCCATCTTAGACCAAGAATCCCGATGAGGGGCACAAAGTTTCAGTCTTAGCAACAAAAGACATACCGTACCATCCCGCAATGGGAGCCTCAGCCTTACCCCTGCCCTGTAATGATAGAGAGGCTGCTCCAGATGGATTCTCGGTGCACGTGAAGATATCAAGAAACTCAGCGTGATAAACTTCAAATAGATTATCTACGAACTTGTAATATGAGAGAAAAGAAGACAAACAGCTAATATGGCTCCATAACGATAAGCACCATTGAAAGGCCTCTCAACAGTGAGCAACAATAAACTGCAGACCCAGCTTAATGGGAAATTATCCCTTTCTATCATTCAAACCAACGAATACACTAAACTTCAACATTAACGAAACACACTGTACCATCCCATAATAAAAGCCTCAGCGCAAGCGAAGTATATCAAGAACTAACACAACATTCTTAACAACTAATCACCATTACCAGCTACTCGATACAAAACAGTGGACTCCACACTAAAGGAACTGGATAAACCCTTAAGAATGAGAAACAGATTCAAAGCTCCCATCTAAACCTTGTTGTAAACAAATAACTATCACCAGAAAAATTCAAGATGGCCGTGAAGATAAGGAAAGATCATTAACATGACATGAAACAACAAGTTCATAGAGATCAAAGAAACCGAATCAATAGCAATGAAAACGAAAAGAAACTCGGTTGATAACAATGGAACAATCACAGTAGCAACTTCATGATCAAAACATTATGCTAAGTTAGAAATGGAAGAAGAAAGCTTTAATAGGGCGATTACCTTTCTCCGAGCAGCAAGACTGAGACGGAAACGAGCAGCAACAGCAACAACCTTCACCCAAACGAAAACATGAACACAGAATGACGGAATAAAAGTCGCAGAATTGAATAGCTCACCAATCCTAATCACGAAAGCGAAAAGAGCAACTTCTTTGAGTATTTTGTATGCATGTTAATCCTAAATATGACTCCCGAAATTTCTTCCAACTCTCTGTAATTTTCTTTAGTTCATTCGAAACAAACAGAAAAACCAAAGAATTTCCCCCCAAAAATTTTTTCCAACCCCCTATTGTGAAGAAGACAGGGGTTTATATAGAGGAAATAATTAGGGTTTCGATTTTTGGGTGGGTAAGACGAATTTCGGCCCATTTCCCATTTCGAAATTCCGAAATCTTATCCAAATACGGATGATTCGAACGGAAAAAGGGAGGTGAAGGGTGGAGGGTGGAGATCGATCCCTCGTCCTTGGCAAACGACGTGGCTCGATCCTATGATGCCAAGGACAAACTCGCGTCGTCTTGTGCTGTACGGAGCAGCAGGAGCGCAAGTATCCGTTGCTTATCCACGCGCGATAGAGAGAAGGAGAAGGAGGGTGGCTTTGCGCGTGAAGGAGGTTCTGGGAATTTTTCCTGTGCGTAGGAGTGCTGGGAGGTTCTGTTTATTTCTGCTGGGGGGTCGCGGGGTGAAGGGGAAGAAGGAGGGCAGACGGGTCGGGTCGGGTCAATCGAAGGGAAAGGGGGTTGGGCTGGGTTGAAATGCATTGGGCTGGGAATTTAAGATGGGAATGGGAGAGGAGGAAAAAGGAAATGGGCCAGAAAGAAGTGGACTGGAATTGGGAATTAAAGGAGATTTTGAAAACAGCCCAAAATGAATTAAATTGGAAATTTAAGAGGGGTGGGCTCGCTTTTGAAGAAAAGGCCCAAATCTGGTCCTTTAAAATGAGTTTAAGGGAAAAAGGGTATATTTAATAAATGGCCAATTGAATTAAAATGATTAATTTGGCTAAATCTTAAATAAATGAATTGGTATTAATTAATTAACGAGCTTCTTTATTTAGTAATATAATTATTTAAATTGTAAAACTAAACTAGTTTAATAGAATACTTACTAAACTTACATTATTTTTTTGAGATGGTTTTTTGAATAATCATAAAATATACTAATTATATACATAATTATGTAACAAAAAAATATTATCTGAAAGTTATAAGAAATGAAAAATTAATCAAAATAACGCAAACTTTATATTTTTTTCTTAAAATTTGTAAAACTAATTATTTTCGATCGTTTGGAGAATTTAAGAAGCTCGAAAACTAATTTATACCGAGGAGGGTCAAAATAGGGTGTCAACAACACAAAGACAAATCTTCATATGAGGTGTTATATGGTCAGGTTCCTTCTCTTGATCATGTGAGAGTTCTTGGTTCTTTATGTTATGCCACTGATCCCAAAAGACTTGATAAATTTGCTCCTAGAGCTATTCGTGCTATTCATATGGGTTATTCTTCTACTCAGAAAGGGTATATCTTATATGATTTTAGCTCTAAAATTTTCTTTGTAAATAGAGACATTGTGTTCAAAGAAGATATATTTCCTTTCAAAGATCTTAAATCTTATCCCGAGTCTTTGTTTCCTATTATTGATCTTCCTGTTGATCTTGATTCTGAATTAACTACTCCTAGTTTAACTTCTTCTTCTCAGATTCTTCCATCTGTTAGAAGTGATGTTTCTTCTGAAACCAATGATTCTACAAGAGTTGTTCCATCTGTTGCTCCTCCTAGGTGATCCTCTAGGCAGTCTAAACCTCCTGTTTTGCTAGATTCTTATGTTACTCCAACAACAAAGAATGCATCTCTATATCCTATTTCTAACTATGTTTCATATTCAGCTTTATCTCCTACTTATAGAGTTTCTCTTGCTGCTTATTCTACTACATCAGAACCTCATACATACTCAGAAGCATGTCAAGATCCTCTTTGGGTGGCTGCTATGCAGGATGAAATTACTGCCCTTGAAAATAATGATACTTGGTCTATTGTTTCTCTTCCCACTGATAAAGTTGCTATTGGTTGTAAATGGGTGTTTAAGATCAAATTCAAAGCTTCAGGGGAGGTTGAGAGATACAAAGCAAGGCTTGTTGCTAAGGGATATAGTCAACAAGAAGGTCTAGACTTCACTGAAACTTTTTCCCCTGTTGCAAAAATGGTTATTGTCAGGTCTGTTATTGCTCTTGCTGCTTCTTATGGTTTGTATATATTTCAGATGGATGTTCATAATGCCTTTCTACAAGGTGATCTTCTTGAAGAGGTCTACATGCAGATTCCTGAGGGTTTTGCAAACCAGGGGGAGAAACACATGGTTTGCAAGCTTCATAAGTTCTTATATGGACTAAAGCAAGCCCCTAGACAATGGAATCTAAAACTTACTGAAGCACTGATTGATATGGGGTTCTAGCGATCTCATTATGACTATTCATTGTTTACAAAGAGAGTAGGGAAAGAACTTCTTGTCATACTTGTATATGTAGATGATCTTTTGATCACTGGGAGCAACTTAAATTTGATACAACAAGTTAGAAAAGACTTACAATACAGGTTCAAAATGAAGGATCTTGGAGAGTTGAAATATTTTCTTGGAATTGAGTTCTCCAGAAATGGAGATGGTATTCTTATGAATCAGAGAAAATATGCACTTGGACTTGTATCTGAACTTGGACTTGCAGGATGTAAACCTGCATCTACTCCCTTGGAGTTCAATCACAAGTTAACATCCACTGTGTTTGATAAATGCACGGGAATGAATGCAGAAGATAAAGTTCTTGATGATTATGGAAAGTATCAAAGGGTGATAGGTAAACTATTGTACTTGACTTATGACTACGCCTGATATTGCCTTTGTGGTTCAAGTACTTAGTCAATATATGCACTCACCAAAAAACTCTCATATGGAAGCAGCACTTAGAGTTGTGTTCATGCCAAGCAACAACATGTCTGAGCTTGTAGCTTATTGTGACTCAGATTGGGGAGCATGTATAGAATCCAAGAAGTCAGTGATTGGCTACATAGTCAAGCTGGGAAGTGCTTTAGTGTCTTGGAAAGCAAAGAAACAAATTAAGTCTCAAGAAGTTCTGCAGAAGTAGAGTTCAGAAGTATGGTTACCACAGTAGCTGAGATAATTTGGCTGAAAGGGTTGTTCAATGAATTGGGAGTAGAAGTTAAGCTGCATATATATTATCTAAAATACAACTTTGAACTTACCTATATTTTAGTTACTTATTCTAAAAGGTAAGCAGAAATAAAAATTGTGGAATTTCCTAATCCTCAAGATTGATTTCATTATTCACAATAAAATATATACAATGTTGAAACAATTAAAAACTAATAATACTTTGACTGTGGAAGATGTATATAGGTTACTTCAGCCATAATACCATTCAAACTGTGGAAGATGTACCTAAGAGAGGCAACAACATCAGCCCTTCCATGATTCGATATAGAGGAAACGGCAACATCAATCCTTCCATGATTTGGATAAGAGAAAATGGCACCTTAGAAATTAAAAAGAAAATATATGTTGCCTATTGGTGATTTAACATTAGTTCTAATTACTTTAGTCATAATATCATTCAAACTATGCTAATTGAGACAAGGGACAAACAACATAATGTAGAGAAAATGTTGAAAAACATAGCTCTTGGATGGGACCATTTAGATAATTACCATACTGCTATCAACGAGAGAATTTGGATCATTTAGAACACTGATAACTATAAAGTCATAAAAATAGAAGAGAACATTGATAACTACAAAGTCTCAAAAATAGAAGAAAATAGGCATTATTACATTTTTATGTAAATGGAATTAGGAAACCAATAATCCTAGTCTTTCTGTTTACTTTTAAAAGCACTCGAAATAAGATTGTGGCATACGGCTCATTCGTTACATTAAAATTACATGTTGATTTTATATATGATTGTTTTTCTTATGTTGGTGTATGGCTACATTTTCTGTTTAATTACTCGTCTCGCTTAGGAGGTTACTGATGGTTAGCTATTTTCTCTCTTTTTCGATTTGTGTATTATAACGATAGGCGTCGCTTTACAACTTTCATATTTTGTCCCTAATTCACAGTGAGATATAGTAATCTCCCCAGCACCCTCTGATACTTCTGATATCTAGAAGTATACAAAGAATGAACCAAAACAGATGGAAATTACTTGAAAAATTTTTGGTAAGGTAATAGATGATTTTCAGGATCACACAAAGTAACCATAATATCAATATTCCTAGGGAAACAAAATAAAACAAACAAGCTTCCAAGATGACAGGTATTGACTCGATGCTCCTAATTTTATAAGCTCAAATATTTAAAATGGAGTACCTTGAGAGGCAATTACAGTAGTCCCTTAGACATCCATAGGAGAGGAGGCGGAAATGCCATGATCCGGAGAAGAGGAAACGTCACCTTAAAAATTAAAAAAAATATATTTGTTACTTATTGGTGATTTATTATTAAATGATTTATCATTAAATCTGGTTACTTCAACCATAATATCTTTCAAATTGTGGTATATGTGCTTAGAAAGACAACAACATCAGACTTTCCATGATCCGAAGAAAAGGAAACGGCAACATAAGTCCTTCCATGATCCGAAGAAGAAGAAAGAGCAACATAAGTCCTCATGCTCCGGAGAAGAGGAAAAGACACCTTGAAAATTAAAAAATATATATATATTTCTTACTTATTTTATTCATCTACGATAAGAAAACAACAACTCCTCAATCCTAAACTAGTTAAACTGGCCTTACTATACATTCCATTTGGACAAGTTTCCTTCCTACATTATTCAAGAATATACCGATCCCTTAAGAAACTAACAAGACTTGGACTTTATGTAAATCTCCGATAATTGTAGTGAAATCGTCTCGGCAACACCAAAACTTATATAGAAGACAACAAATAAAGAAACTCTATCAACATATTCATGACTATGCTCGATTTGGGAATTTAGCAATCCTATCATTTACAAAACAATAAAAATTGATCAAAATCATTAACAATTATATTCGATCTAAATTTAGGGAGTTTGCAACCCTATCAATTACAATAGATTACAAACAAAATAATTCCAGTTTTAAATTGGAGGGACTTACATCTCTTCTTCTCCCATCTTCACTTTCACATTATCATATCGGTGTTGGCAGAGCCATTGACAACGAAATTTACAACGTATGAGAGCTTGATATAAAACTTCATATAATGTTGTTTGGATATCATCTTCTAAAGAAATACCACATGTTTCTTTGATGTCTTGGGTTATTGATCTTAACCACATACATTCTCGACTTGCTTCATGGATGGATATTATCGTTGCATGATTTTAAGAAATAGTAATCATAGTTTGTTTGTTGAACACCATGATATAGTTTTACCTCCACATATAAATATATAACCTATCTGAGATCGACCTTTATGTGGATCCGATAAATATTCTACATTCTGCATAGACAATTAATTGTGAATCGCATTCCTTTGAATAAAATATTTCCAAATCAATGGTCCATTGAAGATATTTAAATATATATGTACTATCATTTTAGTGTGTTCGTATTGGGGAAGAACTAAATCTTGCTAAATATATATCTAATCGAGAATTATTAGCAAGGCACATCAATGCACCAATTGCACTAAGATATGATATTCGGAAGCAATAAGTTCTTCATCATTTTCATGAGGTCAAAATGGATCATTAATATCAAGTGATCTTACAATTATGGGGGCACTTAATGGATGTATTTTATCCATGTAAAGTCACTTTAAAATATTTTTAATATATTTCGAATAATGAATAAATACTTTTTCAATTTGTAAACCAAGACAAAATTTTATCTTTTCAAGATCTTTCATTTCAAATTTCTTTTGTAATATTCTACTGACTTCGAAATCTCTTTGTGAATTTACATGATATTTTTTTCATCAACATATACAACTATAATGAAAAATTCGAATCCAAACGTTTTAATAAACATACAAGTACAATTTGGGTCATTTCAATAGCCCTCTAACAGAAATTAGCTAAGGCGATTATACCACATGCTTCTTGATTATTTCAATTCGTATAAATATTTTTGAAGCTTTATCGAACAACAATTTCGAAAATCTTTATATATTTAAGGAATTTTAAATCCTTTAGAAAATTTTATTACTGAATAACTATCCTTCAAGTATCTTGATCGTTAACTCCATTTTTTTAATGATTTTTATATTTGTGATCGATTGATCAAGTGTTTTAAGCATGATTTAGATTCATTGTTTTAATTAATTGTCCAATCAGGATGTCAACTCAAAATGGAGCATTAGCAGCTGAAATATGAGATTTTGTAACTCTTGATAAGTCAACGAAAGCATCTAACAATTGATTTGCAAATGTTTTGAACCTCTAGTTCACATTTATTTTAATGAAGATTTTAGTGAGATAGTAATAATGCATTTTAATATATATATTAGCTGTTTATTTTCTCCCCGTAATGCTAGGTATACTAATTCATCAAAATGAAAATTAGAAAATTTTGACCTAAATAAATCTCCAGTCATAGATTTCAAATATTTTATAATAGAAGGAGATTCATATCTAACATATATCCCCAACTTTATTTGGGGATTCATATTTGTACGCTGTATTAGAGAAATTAAAACATATACAACACATACAATTGTTCTGAAATGAGAAACGTTTGGCTCCTAACAAATAGTCAATTGTAATGGAGAGACTTTATGATAACTTGTTGGTTTGATATGCACAAGACTAGCTGCATGCAAAATAGCATGACCCTAAAATGTAATGAGAAATTTCGTTCTCATAAGCATTGATCTAGCAATTAATTGAGGATGTTTAATCAATGATTCTGCTAAATTATTTAATATATGAACATGAGCAAGTGATTATTCATCAGTATTATCAAGACAAATTGTCTCAATTGTATAATCTAAAAATTATGCTCTTAATTTTATTATTCAAGCAAGCAATCTTATAAATACCGCATTACGAGTTGATAATAAGCGCACATGTGATTATTTTGTAAATTAATCTATTAAAATCATATAATATTTAAATGGTCTGCAAAATAAGTGTCTTTATCTATTGTTACTTTGTTCTTTTCCTTTCCCCAGGTTATGCCCTCCCCCCCCCCTCCCCAGCCCACACACCGTTTTTGTTAGTTGATGACTGACCCTCCACATTTCTCGCCTCAGGTGTTTTGTCTTCTGTTTGGCCGTCAACTCTACCTTCTGGAGTGTTCTCATTTTTTTATTTTTGAATTTTTCTCACCTCCACCAAGTTACTACATTTGTGCATCAAATGTGTCTTTTTTTCTTCTTCATGTTATCACTCATTTGTACCCAGAGAAATCTACATGTGTCTCCTCCTTGTGTTCCTTAGCCCTCATATTTTTCTCCTTTTGTCTCTCCTTGCTCTCTTGATTATCTTGTTTTAGTATTTAAATTAATTTTTAATTATAATGCCTACCTTGCTTCAGACCTTTTCTTGTGGTTTATTTCTTCCTTCTTCTGCCTTTGTTCTATATATTTATTTTCTTTCTTGTCATTCTTCCTAGCATCATCTTTGGCTACTGCTTCAATGTTTATATTTTCCTATCATAATATTTATCTTCTCCTCTTTCTTTCTGTCGTGTCTTCTCTTTTGAATACAATTACGGATGTACCACATAACACTATTCTTCGTTATGTCCCTGCATTATGCAAGTCTGGCAACATATTGGGACATAACGTTAATATTTTATTTTGATCTATTTCTTCATCACCTCTCCGTTATGCTCTCTCATCCCAATCGTGATGTGTTTTGGTGGTTTCTTCATCAGATCTACTTTCACTTCACTCTTGCACAACTGATCTTGTTTGATTTCTTATTCTCATATCCTCCAATAATGGCTTCACGGATGCAGCAACTAAAGAGAAATTCGGAATCCATGTAATAGTTGTCGATGTTTCCTCCTTCGAATTGAACATTGGGTCCCATTTAAGATTTCTCGTTCGGAAAGACCAACCTTGATGTGTGATTTGTTGAAGGTTGGTTTCGATAGAAGGTTTACATAATCCTACAATAAAGTCACCCTTATTAAA